GTACTGTGAAAGGATTACAATTATGATTGTTTCCTTCCTAATCCAAAATCAATGCAATCAGATAATGGCAGTCACTTCACAGCAGGAATAGTCCAGGATCGGGCAAAAACTGAAGGGATACTGTGAGTGTTCCATATCCCCTACACCACATCCACAAGCCAGTGGGATAGTAGAAAGGACAAATGGTCTCATAAAATGGATTTTGAGACCTCAGGATCCAAAGGTGCCTGATCAGCTGTGGGACACTGTGACCCATGGAGAGTAAGTGGATATCCATGACTTACAGCATTTTGTCCCACAATGCCTACCATGCCTTCCAGAAACAAAAAGACTGATGATCCCCAGAACCCCATATGTTTTCCTGGTCAGCCAGTACTGGAAGGCCTCCCAGCTATCGGGGAAGTCCTGCTGGTCCTAAAGACCCCCCTGAACATGCATGCATAGGTAACCAAAGATGCCCATGGCAGAGAACCACAAAATTAACAGCAGATGGATAATTCCTGCTTTTTAAAACTGGTCCAAGTAGGACTGCATTTTCTTTTGTCTCTCCTTCTACAAGCATTCCATACAAAGATGTGGCTGTGAGAAGATGAAGCGGCAACAGGACTGAAGATTTACACAGTTCTTTGCTGCAGTGACTGTTTGTACATGTTTTTATCTTAATATGTTTTGTGATATTTATATTCTTATCTGTTTTGCCTTGGTAGTTTTGCAGTATGTGTATAAATGTCACAAGCATTGTTTTGGGCTGTTTGTGTCTTCTCTCTGGTTGCCACAACAGGTGGAAAAGATTCCTTCCTGAATTTATCTTGGAAGCTCAGACAGGATTTCATATGATTATGAAATCAGATTTGTATACTCCTTCCTACCTCCTCAGAACAAGGTATAGAATTACTTTGAACCGAGAAAGAAGTGTACTTTGATGCCAGAGGAACCACATGTGGTGGTGGAAAGCGATGCATGAAGCGTGGTCGTACAGAGAAGGGGGATGACAGAGGCGGATGAGACGGCAGCTGGAAAGTTTTCTCCAGCTGTAAGCAAAGAAATCCTAAGTGGTCAAGATGTCAGAAGAAAGGATTTTGGATTTGGAAACCAGTGAAGGGTTTAGTAAGTTAGGAAGGTATTTGGTTTGAACCCAGGACCCTGTCTAGAAAAATATGCCAAATAGATAGAAATGGCTCGAATGTTTGTTGTACCTTTAACCTCCCTGAGGCAACCAGACTCAGAACTTTCACTTGATGTAACTTTCCCATGGTGCACCCTGATATTCCCCCTTATCCTGGCATTTGGATCTCTAGCATTGTAATACGGTAATTGACTGTAATATGGACTCTGGGGACCCCCCCGACACCACAGGATAAGGGATAAGGGTGGTAATACAGGAGATATGTTTGGGTTACAATGACACTTGGACTTGTGAAATTATCAGCTCCAAAATGCAAGGCTGCCTGTTGAAAATTTGACTTATCCTTAAGTTTTCTATTTTTTGGTGAGGTGTGCAATTACACTGCAATAGAGAATCTTAAATTGGACTCATTAGGCCATTTAGGAGCTCAACTTAGAAGTCCAGCAAGTATCAAAAGTTATTTTATAAAATTGTCTAATCCTCAATAAATTGTTACTAAATGGGCAAGAAATATGTGAAATGCTGAGCCTCACCTATAGGAAAATGCTGTTTTAAGCAGCACAAGCAAAAGTAAAGTAAATTGCCAACCAGTCTGCTGAACTCTTCCAATCACTGCAGCCAAAAGACTGGTTTCATGAACTCTTCCCCTCCAGATCCTGATTTGCATCTTTCTTGCCATCTCTGGAACTGACACAGTGAGGGATGAAGGCTTGCATAGTCTGGAATCCCTATGCTGACTGGACTTCTATTTTTGATTATTGAAGTAGCAATTGTCCTCTGTATGATTTCTTGTACACTTTCCTCTTTTTCCTCTCCTTTTTTTTCTTCCTCTCTCTGCTAGGTTAGAATCCCACTACTGCCATCATGGAAGAAGAAGATCTTGTTTCCCATTGTTCTGGTCTCAGTCACTGTTTTGAGCCTCGGGGTAGTGTACTTAACCAAAGGGACAGGGGCAGGGCGTGTCCTGCAAAGGTGGATTGTTGCACTGCTCCACCCCCACTGCCCTGAAGCCTCTAGTGCAGCCCCAGAATGGTTATTAACCACTGGGACAGCAAAAGTCCCACCAAAGGGGGAATGCCCTGAGAGACAGGGCAGATAAAAGCAGTTGCATAGGCACATGAGGTCACAGCCCACTGCTAGGACTTCACAGTAGCTGAAATCACACTGGAATTCAAGCAATGATTTTTAATATTTCTCTCTTCCTCCCCTCCTTTCTTCTTCTCAAAATCTGGGTAACTTGAGTTGTGTGGTTCGGAGTTCGCTAAGCCAATGCCTTGTGAAATGCTTGATTTTGAATGAATGTTACTTTAAAATTTGCCAAGTACCCTTACTTTCTACTGTTTGCGAATGAAAGTTTGTTGTTTAACCTCCTATGTTGTCTCATTTCTCCTGTGTGCTGCCTTGTGTATTAAAAAAGCATAACAAACTCATCCTGCAGGTCTGGGACTTTACAAAGAGGCAGTGTAAAGAAGCAGCTCACTTGTGTCATGGTCTAACACTACATGATGGCCTGGGATCTTAGCAGAGCCCAGCCCAAATAAAAAGTCTGCCAGTGGCAAAATGTAAGCATAGTAGAGGGCACTTAAAAGTACCAGACCAACAGTTGCTTATTAATCAAAGTAAACAAATTCAGAAGCAGCCAAAGTAACTATGTCACAAGCCCTCATTATAATTCCTTTTATCAGAATAGTTAATTTTTATAGTTCATTTTATCCAAATGAACTAATTGTAAAGAGTAAGGTGAACTGTTCAGACACTGGAAGGGATCTTCCCCAGGATGTTGTGTTAAGTCTCATACCAGGTCATCCTCTGGGACAGGTTAGTTCTGTGACACGTTTGGTTTTGCACACTTCCTTTACCTTATGTCTGCCTTGTGATAGTGCTTTGCTAAGCAGCATTTGCCGTCTGTAGCTCCAGATGGTTGCAACCAGCTAGGCTGATCCTGTTCCATCCATTGGCTGACTTTGGTTAAGGGACAGATGGCACGTCCCCTCTTTTCTTTTTACCTCCTTGACAAAGTCTATTGTTTTATTCTGCTCTACACAAAAATCACAGGTCAAAACATACTACCTCTGTTCTAGTCAGTGTAATAAAGTTCAGTCTAATCCTGGTGGATTTTTCTTGTTTTGAGACTTCCTTGGGAAAAAAAACATTATCAGTCTTGGTCTTCATGTGCCTGAGAAGATGTTTTTATGCCCCAGTTGATCTTAGCAGGTTCTCAGAGACCCACTGTGATAATACATGACTTCTAGGAAGCCTATAGAGAAGAGGATACTTTGCTTCCATTTTTCCTGCTGTTCAGCTGTTCATATCTTGGCACTTACGCGTCAGCAGGTGCGTAAAGAGCAGTGCTGTGCCAGCGCCTGGACTGACCCAGAAGAGAGATTTCTTGTGGGGTGCTTTACACTTGCAATACTTTTCAGGCTGTCCATCATAACCTATTTTTTTTTCCCGGCCTCTGTGCACTAGTCAAATAGTCCAAGCTTATTCTGAACAGGCACTGATAGCTGTCGTAACAGATGGACAACTGTGCTGGAAACCAAGAAACTATGTACTGTATGCACACTGAGGGAGCAGTGTACTGGTTCAAGTCATTCACATAACTGGCTGGCCGAAGTCTGCGTGTCTATGGTTGGAACAAGGTGCCATTGATTAACTGCAAACCTCAGTTTTAACTTTCTAAAGTCAGAAGCTAATGAAATAACTTAATGCCTACACTATTATACATGCTATTGATTTTTAGGATGTTCTATGCTCACCCCATGTTTATTTCACTGATCCTATAAATGATCTGTAAGATCATGAGCCACATCAGTTTGGACATAACTGAATACTTCCCTTCTATCTCAGTGAAAGTTCTATCTTTTGGCTCTCAATCTTTGAACTTGTATTTAGCATTTCTGTTTAGAGAGCCCCTGTAAATGGTCATTGAAAAGCTCCTGGCCCAGGTATTGGGTTTTACTGCTATGAACAATAAGCCTTTTTTATTACTAGAAAACTATTACTCAAATCCAAGGTAAGAAAGCAGTGGTGTTTTAATTAGAAAAATACTTACTTGCCACAGCTAAGGTAAGCTAAAACTATTATTTCTGTACATTTTTGTGGGTTTGTATTGTCTTTGATTTCAGACATCCGGAAAACTTGAAAGAATATGTGAACACTTCGGCAAAAATTTAGCCTACTGTAAACTTTATCTGATCCATTTGTCCTGGCCTCAGTCTACAGGAAATAATGGTTGTTTTCTGGGCCCCTAGTAAATAGCCTCTGAGAAGAACCAAACCAAATTTTATATTGACAAATGAGCAGGATACTAGACCTCTTCTCTGTGGATCCCAGTCCACCGAGAATTGAGTGTGAATTGTGTGCAGAGTCATCAAAAGTTCTTTGGTTTGGTTTTTTTAAAGCTGACTTGTTGGCTGACACAGAAAAGTGCAAATATGAATTTACAGGCTTCTGTTCAGGAGTGAATGTTTCATATTGATATCTTGTATGAATTCCAAGTGATATTTTAGCTGATTTTCCATTTGTTTTCTATCCTGTTAGTGGAGAAACATTACTTATGTGCCACATCTGCTACTGAAGTCTAATATTCACTTGTAATTTGGCCACAGGCATGTAAGTCAAAAAATGAGATTTTTTTTCCTGGCTAAAAGTTAAGGAAAGAAAAAAAGAAGAAAAGTTAAAACCTCAGTGAATGCGAAGAGTAATCCAGATTCAAACTGTTGATTATAACAGTATTTGGTCAAAGAACAATAATGCCCATGTCTATCTCTAAATTCTTTGCTAAGTGACCCATTTTGCTATCTAAAGAATGCAACTAATTTTTCAGAAGCATATTTTTAAAAATGTCTTTTTTTTTTTTTTTTCTCCTTAGTTTGTGGTGACGATGTTTTGGAGCATCTATATCTATGACAGGGAACTGGTTTACCCAAAGCTCCTTGATAATTTTATACCAGCATGGCTAAATCACGGAATGGTGAGTAAAGTAATGTAAACACTTCCTTGCATAAACAAAAGTGTAAGAAAGACACTGATTTCTCTGTGCATGATTCTGCATACTCTTTGTGCTATTTGCCTCAGAACTGATTAAGGAATGTGATTTGCAAGGAAGAGTAACATCTTTCCTTCCCTGTCTTCTGGAGTTCTATTTGAGTCCTTATTAGGTTGAAACTGGAGATTTGAACTTACATGTCCTGTATCCCAGGCTTGTGGGGGTCAACTCTTTCCTGTGTAAGGTAACTTTCCCGGAGAAATGTCACTGTGGTCATGAGGAAGAGACTGTTCATAAAATAGAGGTTCTGATTTTGACAAATCTTGTTCTAAAATGACAGAAACATTTAATTGAATGTTTCTTTACCAGTCTACCAAAGAATAATTCATTATGAAAACTTTTAGTTAAAACGCTTTTTCAAAAAATCTCTATTTTTTGGACTTGGGTGTTGTAAGAAAAATAACTCAAGTACACCAAACTTCTGTAGCAGAACCTGTATCTGAATATTTTTAATAATATGGAATTATATGTATCAATGCAAAGCTTTAAAATTGATGCATTGGTATTCATAAAGGTAGTTCCTTGAGAAGAAAACTGACCTTTTAATCCCTCTCTGCTATGTGAAGTCACAACACATCTTTTCTCTCAACTATATATTTAAATGCCAAGGGAAAGTTAAGGCCACAATTTGCCATCAGGTACTTTGCACTGTTGATGCAGCATTTGGAGCTGAAAAGTGTCATGTTTGCTTCTCTAGTTGCATCTGTGCAAAATTTTTCATTATTTGATTTCCTCATCAAGATGTGGCAAACCATTTGGCACTGGTGTTCATCACTAGACGACAGCAGATTTCATCCTTCCAGGTGTGTGAACTTTATCACCACAGCAGATCAAGATTTGCCCACCATTGCTGTGCTTGATAAATGGGTCCATTGTGGAGTGGGGCAGATGACACTGCTGTTTATTTGTTCCCCAGATTTTGTATCAAAGGAGGGGTTTTAGAGTTGCTACCAACAAAAGGAGCATCAGCTTCTGCTAGATACTGTACTGTTTTATGATGTTTTGAAAGGAACAGCGTGATACTATGTGTATCTGGAGCTGAGGAGAGTCTGATGACTCCTGCTGAATTTGTTCAGGCTGTACTCCCTTGAGCTCTGAGGTTATGAACTGAAAACTTGCAAACACTGCTAAACCATGCTTATCTTGATTTTTTTCCCCACAACAGATCAGTCCCAGTTCTGATGACATTTCTTTCAGGAGACATTCCATATACTGGAAGTGTCTAACTCATAACATTTTTCATGAATGTACATTGTGAAGCAGTTGGCAGCAAAAGGCCGTAGGTATTCAGGAAATCTTCTCTATGTGCTAACTAAAAGGCAGCTGAAGCTCATGTTGCTTTGTAGAAATGTATACTTAGTGAAATATGTGAAGAGGTCTTCTGTTTGAGGTTTCTGGACATCACAGAGTTTGCTGAAATGTATTGTGTCCAACTATTTTAGACTTTTTTTTTCAACTTGAAATATTGTAGAAAGCATTTTTGAAAGACTTTTGTAAAGGAATTGGTTTCTGTGTCAGTCTCTATTTATCCAAGTGTTCTTCAGTTAGATCACAAGGGAAGTATATGGCTGTGGGGCTTTTCACCACATTTAGTGCATTCTTTCTGATGTTTTATCCATCATTTTATCCTCACCAGCTTTCCTCCTAATTAATTCTGATCCATTGCTCATCATAGTATGAAAGGGTTATTAAACTACCTTGAGAATGCTTGCACCCTACTTAGTAGTAGTTAAAATTTTGACATGTCAGATTTTAGAGAATATCATAGAGGTCCACTTAGTGAAAGGGTAGGACCTCTGGGAATAATTTTAAAAAGTCAGAATCCCTGGCTATTGCTTTATACTGAAATAAACATTTATTCTCATGTATTCCTGCACATTTTGACAGCAGCTGTGCTCATGGAATGATAACTATTCTGAAAGCAAGGGTGGCCATGCTGGAGCCCAACCTTGCACAACAAAACTCACACAAGAGACTCTCATCTGTCAGTGAGAGGTGGTTTGTTTAGCTTCTGTCGTGTTGCTGATTAATCCCACTTTTGTGTAATCTTCCCACAAAGTATCTGGTACAGCTCCTAAGGATATGAGGTCAAACATTACTTAACCTGTGAACACTCTATCCAGAATTTTTTCACAGCAATTTCCCCAAAATATTTCTTTAGTCCCCCCCCCAAAAAAATTGCACAATTAAAAAGCCTTCTACTGTATTATAATCAGCTGTAACAACTTGCTAAAGTGTCAACATCAACCTGCAAAATCCATACATAGAAAAGGAGTGAAAATACATGAAATCTGGGTGTTAAAACAGCAATCATATTTCCATTAGTAATATGGGTATGTATTAAAATATTTGAGAGTATTCATACTTTAGAAGCGTTCTTAGGTCACTATCTTGAAGTCTCTGTGAAGAAGTTGTTTGAAAAGCTCATCCAATTCAGTGCCTTAGCCCAGGAAGAAGTGATTGGGCTGAAGAGCCTGCTGCTTTTTAAGCTTATAGTAATTAGTTCTCCTTGTCCTTTTTCTTTTCCTCTTTCCCATCCCTTTTTTGCAGTTACAACACCGTCCATATCTAAACCCCTGTTTTCTTGAACATGCTGTAATGTCTTGTTAATACTCAGAGATACCAGTCCTTCATAGCAACACTTTTTCAACATTAAAAAAAATCAGAATTATAGAAAAACTTCCTTTGTAGAAATGGGAAACATTTCTACATTTCTACAATATGTCTTGGAAATATGTAGTCCCATTTCCAATTCAATTTTAGTATTTTTTATAAATTTTCTTAGAAAAAGAGGAGAGGCTTATTGCTATGCAGAACCTATTCAGCATAAAATTGCATATAGTTTCAAGAACATCTTTCTATTACTACATACATTTATTTATATTTATATCTATATTTGATTTATACACACACCCACACCCTGTATTAGTTACAAACATAATTCCTGTATTTGGGACAATCTGTGTATAAAGTGATGCCTTATGGTACCAGATAGTACCTCATATGTGCAGATTCATACACTTGTGAAAGGTATCACTGACAGAGTTGTACTGTGCCATAAAACTGATGTATTGCATCATCTCAGTCAGTTCATTAATCCATAACCAATGGTATCACAATGACTTGAAAAATGACCATGGAAATCAATAGCAGGGTTGCTGCTGATTTGACCAACACAAAGATTTAATTTCTGTTTATTATCTGAAGGAGCACATTTGAGTAGCTGAAGCTAAGCTTCTGTCCACAGATATAACTACCTGTCTAAAGAGAGTTGTTGGAGAATAGAGCTGTCTCTCAGCCTTGATCTGTTTCTGAACTGTCAAGTGCACTTCCTGGATTTATTAGTTATGCAGATGAATTCATCTTCGTGGGTTACAATTTCAGTTGCCAAATTGCTGAACTCTTTCATCAGAGATGTCATTTGTTTTCTGGAGACTGTCCTGCAGTTTGGAACCATATCAGCTCATAATTCCGAATGCATATTTTCCATAGGAAATACTCTTTCTGATGGCTGGCTATCTGATCTTTAGCAGTATGAGGAATTTTAATTGAAAACTAATCTTTAGTGTGTAAAACGGATGTGTCATAGTAGTAGGATTTTTATCAGCTCATTCCTTGCAACTTTTTGTGCTGGGACTGGCCAGGTTGATGCATGGATAATTTTTTCAGAAATTATATTCTCTTCAATATTAGCACAGGCTGTAAAACTAGAGGTTGCCCATATTCTAACCAATGCCCACATAAACAGATATGTAGACTGAATTAATTTATGCTTAAGCATTGCTGATTTTGAGCCAGGTTACATGGCAGGACTGCCTGCAGTATCTGTCCAAGTTAGCATACCATTTCAGCAAGAGTCCTTCTTTGGTTTTTGCAGACATTGTCTCACATTTGTTTTAAAAATGTGAATCATCTTTTCTTTGTGGGAAGGAAAGCAAAATACAGAGATAAATTTTTACTTACTGAGGAGCTGAAATGCTCTGGAGGTCAGAAACAAAGTAATGTCTTCATATGAAGACCCTAGAGGAAAGGTCAGGAAGGGAGGAAGAGAAATATGCTCTGCATCTGTGGAGTTGGAAAAATTATTATTGTCTGAGTTCTGTGCCACTGCAGTCTATATAAGCTCTTCCAGTTTTGTACTCTGTTATTTTTTAAGCTGCTTTCGGGAAATGGGAAACAAAGGCATTTCTAGAAAGACTTACCCTCTGTTCTGGTATTCAAGAGAATACACAAAAACTGGGACAAATAGTAGTTGGAGGAAGGAGAGAAGAAGGAAGAGGAAGGAGCCTGTCCTAGAGATGAATCTCAATTTCACAAGTTGTCTCTTTTCTTACTGCTGACTAGTCAGCTGAAAAATTGAGGCCACTGCAGAATGGTACAAAGTCACACCAACAACCTCTCCAATTGTTTATCCTAGTAGCCTTGTCCTAGTAGCCTTGTCCTGGTGGCCATGGCTTGTGTGTCTTTTTGTTTTAATGGTGGGAAGGACATAATCCTGTTGGAATGGGTCAGGAGGAGGGCCACAAAGGTGATTAGAGCATTGTAACACCTCTTCTATGAGGAAAGGATGAGACAATTGACATTGTTCAGCCTGCAGAAGTGATGGCTCTAGGGTGACTTTATTCCAATCTTTCGGTACCTGAAGTGGTTCTTCAAGACAGCTGGAGGGACTTTTTACAAGGATTTATAGTGACAGGACAAGGTTGTGTAGTGACAGGACAATGGCTTCAAACTGAAAGAGGGCAGGTTAGTTAATTAGACATCAGGAAAAAATTCTTTCCTATGAGGGTTGTGGAGCACTGGAACAGGTTGTCCAGAGAAGCTGTGAATGTCTTGTCCCTTGAAGTGTTCAAGGCCCGGTTGGATGGGACTCTGACCAATCTATCTAATGGAAGGGGTCCCTCCCTTTGGCAGGGTGGTCGGAA